CTCCCTCTCTCTCCCTCTCCCTCTCTCTCCCTCTCTCTCCTCTCTCCCTCTCTCTCCTCTCTCTCCTCTCTCTCCTCTCTCTCTATCTGCGCCTTCCTCGTCACTGTCTCGAGTACGGGTATGAGAGGCAGACGCTTACCGACAGAATCACCATCACGTAATGTACAACAGCGTCTCCCTCTCTACAATATCCGGTTCAGGATTTCAGACAAGAGAGATGAACAAGCCGAAAGAGAACAGCAGCAGGCAAAAAAGGTTCCTCAACTTGCAGATGCTTAACGGTATTACTGCAGTTTCCCTATAGACGGCTAGAGGAGGGGGAGGGGTGGGGGTGGGGCGCGCAAGAAACGTTGTATTATGGCGTACCAAGGGCCAAGGAGGAGGGGGCGTGTGCGTGTGTGTGTGTGTGCGTGTGTAAACTGACGGGTGAATGGGCTCGAAGGGCTCTGACAAGCATCGTCATTTCGTTTTCCATGTGCCCCACCCACACACGCAGAGTACGATGTGGAGTGGAGGAGGTAGGTAGTGTACGTACGGGTATGTACAGATTACTCCGTAGAGAGATGAAGAAGAAGAAAATTTTATCCGCAAGAATGTATACGAGTAGGACGGAAGAAGAGGGAGGGGAGGGTATCTGATCAAGACTGGGTGATAGGGATCACGGCAATACACTACAGAGATTTGATCCTCCATGATACTTCCGTATCGGAAGGTGAACACCGTCCGAGGGGGGACAGAGTCGCAGACAGGAAGGGCCTCTCTGCACGGCCCAATACAGATACGTACTCGTACAGAGAGAGGTCTGAGGTACTGCACATCCGCGAAAACGTCACAGCACCCCGCTACCCCCTTCCGGCTTGCAGGGTATGACGCTGCTGGTGTCTGGTCCCACAGGGTCGAGAACTTCCATCGTCCAACTGATCGTCCCTCCATCACATGGGTGCGTGCTACTAATACCAGTACTAGAGTCTAGAAGCGGTGCTCGTACGTCTACCAGTGAATATGTGCCAGTCTCTGTACTGATGCTGTTGCTGTGGGTTTTTTTTTTCCCTTTCCCGGTGTTTGTGTGTGTGTGTGTGTGTGTGTGTGTGTGTGTGTGTGTGTGTGTGTGTGTATGTACTTGTAGGTGTGTGTGTGTGTGTGTGTATGTTGTGTGTATATGTACTTGTAGGTGTGTGTTATTTTTCATTACGATGATGATGATTATCATTATCATTTCATTCTAAGCATCAAGCGCACATGGTCACTTAACAGATTTTCGACTAATACGAGTGGCTATGAAGAATAGAATGTGTGTAAGTTCCCTGTGCCTGAGGACATAACAACCTTGGCTACCGGGGGGAGGGGGGGGGGGAGGAGTGGAACACACCAGAAAATGACGTCGCTATGAGCCTCCTTTTCTCTTGGCCTAGTGGGGGGGGGCCAAGGTGACCATGAGTGAGTCTTTTTGCTTCACCTAACAGGAGGTTACGCAGAGTACGGGTTGAGTAGCTGTACTTGGATTAGTTTGAGAGTCTTATCTCTCTCTCTCTCTCCTGAAGAATACAAAGGTATCAACGTCTTCAAAGCAACCCAAGGAACCCGAAAACGAGTATCTACACTCCATCTCTTTTTCTTCACCGCTTGCTAATATTACACTGCAGCAGCCAGTCCGTGACTTGTTGATGGATCGCCCCCCCCCCTCCCCTTCCCCAACATGCATTCATCAATCCATCCATCCAACCATCAATCAAGGAAGAGACAGCCTAGAATGATTTTTTCTTCTTGTCTTTCCTTCCTTTTTCTTCCTCCTCCTCTCCTCTTTCTCTCCCGCCCCTCCACTCATGCGGAACCGGCAACTCACCNACACTGCAGCAGCCAGTCCGTGACTTGTTGATGGATCGCCCCCCCCCCTCCCCTTCCCCAACATGCATTCATCAATCCATCCATCCAACCATCAAGAAAAGAAGAAAGAAGAAAAAATGATTTTTTCTTCTTGTCTTTCCTTCCTTTTTCTTCCTCCTCCTCTCCTCTTTCTCTCCCGCCCCTCCACTCATGCGGAACCGGCAACTCACCCGCGGTGCGAATACCCGCAGACCGAGATACAGATGAAAGAGAGAGAGCGCGATCAAAATCAACGATACAGTCCGTAATAGGCAACATCCATCTCCCCCAACAGCAGGGTCTGCCTGGCAGCATTAAAACAGTACCGCTCGGTATCTACTGATAAAGTACCGAGACGCGGATAGACAAATCGGAGACAAATCGTGCTCGGAAAACTCAGTTGCGCAGGCATACACTGTCCTTCTCGTTAATGATTGTCGGTCCGTCAGTCACACGGTCAAGTATGAGGAGATTCTAGACCAGTCCTGATCAACATCCCCGCATCGTGAGAAGGCGGTAGTGATGGCAATGGTAGTAGCAGTAGCAGTCATCATTACTCAGTATATATCATGATGTGCTTTCTCTTCTCTCTCTTCACCCAGACACGCGCACGCACGCGCAGACATGCACAGATGCACGCACACACGCGCAGACACACGCACATACACACACAACACATGCAAACACCAGGGAGGACAAAGGTGGGACGCTGCCAAGAGGATCTTACTTGAGAAGTCTCATACCAGCCGTGATAGAATGCCACACTCTTACCAAGCAACAAGGCCTTAAGACTGACCCCCACACACACACGAGATCTGTCGTTGTTTTTTTTTTCTTCTTTTTTTTTTCCTCAAGAGAGAGAAGGGTTACAGGTAAAGAAGAAGAAGACGAAGAAAAAAAGACTTGACCATACCCACAGGTCTGAAAAAAGAAAAAAAAAGAAGGGAAAAAAAAAAGAGTACTTGTAAGATGCTCATACTCGTACTCTTACAAATCCTGATAGCATGATGTACGCATAGCCCCCTCCCCCATTTGGGGAACCGAACTTTGAAAAAAAAGCAAGCCATTCTTCAATCCGAGCCGAAAAGGGCTCTTCCTCCGATACAACACTCTCTTCCTCTACCAGAGCGATTAGATCTCTCTCTGACAATCCGGAGGGATCCGGTAATAGCATAGGTTCCATTATACTATCTCTGGGGTCTTCCGACATTTTTCCTTCCCATTCTCAGTCCTATACAGGAACATGTGATGATATAGGTCCACATGCTTCGGTGGCTCGGTGAAAGGGGATGGCGTTGACTTCCATACGATATTCTGGTACCCGGGGGTGTCAAATATTGATAGTACGAGAATGCTATATTACTCCTATTAATAAGACGTCTTCACGTCATGGTATTGGAAACTATCACCATTAGGAACTATCACCGTTAGGACAAGTAATAATATAGCAGAGTTGGGTCGTTGGTATACCAGTTGAATAATACCTCTCCCATACTGCGTAACATCGTATCCGGTCTGCTCCGGAACCAAAAAAAAAAAAAACCACACATAATAAATCAGTGTTGCGAATGGCTGCATGAACATTCTTCCGTCTGCACGGCATGATTGCCTTTTCTTGCATCTGTACGGCAATAGCATCGGAACTTTTTTTTTCCAAGTCGTGTATTCTTTTCATTTCTTCTCACTTCTCCTCTGCTTGTTGCATTTCTACACACACGCACGCACGCACGCACACACACATATATATATGTATATATATATATATTATATACATATATTATATACATGTACGTGCCTTCGTATTATACACGATACCTTGCGCCTCGTCATGCGTGTCGCGGCTTGGAGAGAGGGGACCCGGCATGAGTCTCGGAGAATTTTCCATGTTCCATCTTCATTATTTTTCCAATCTTTCTTTCTATGCTTGGTGATGTAGACGGCGTCTCTCCCTCGTCCCCTTCCGTAGGTGATCGATATTGAAGCAATGAGATCCGTTCTGCGTTGGTCGGGGACTGAGACCGTTGTTGGTAGTTTCTGTTGGGCTGCATGTTTCGCCCACTCACTCATCCACTCGGTCAGTATGATTATTGGTCATTGATTGGTATATCTCTCTGTACGGATCGCTTATCGGTACTTGAGCCCGTACAATAACGTCTATCCCCGCATCAGGCAGCTGGTCTTTAAAAGGGGGGGGGGGGGGGGGGGAGGAAGAGAGAAGAAGAAGAGAAGAAGAGAAACCCTGGTGATGACTTCAAACTTTTTCCCTACTGTCCATCTTTCTAGCATCAATCTCCATCTCTCAAATGTATTCTCGACAGCCACCTGCTTAACAAATCACGGCATGATTAGTAGCAGTACACTTCTTACCTTTTGTAAGAACTGCTAGATAATACTGGTGATGATAACATCCCTCCTACCATGCCCCTCTATCTATCTATACATCTCCTTCCTACTCCACTTCTTGGTGTGCCCATGCCCCCCCGATGACGGAAGGGGCCTTTTGTTGCGACGACAGAGTACGCGGGGTCTTTTTTTTTTCCTTCATCTCCAAGCTCGGAAGAGGCCGAGGAAACAAAGCAGAAGCTCGCTCCTTCTTCTCCTTCTCCTCCTTCCCCTCGATTATTGCTTGATAGTACTATTCTCTCTCTTTCGTATACATCGCCAAGAAATCGTTTCGTGTTCAATACATCTGGCCACCAACACACGAGTACGATGACATCGCTAACCCCCGGAGACCGTTTCAAGAACCACACCGTTCCCGCCCCGGTGCCAGCCTACCTCCCATCGGCGGCCGGGTCACCCCTGACGGTGGACAGGGAGGCCTACGACTCCATCCAGGCCGCTCCGCGCGTTCTGGTGGAGGAGTTTACCCTGCCCATCCGGTCTGGTAGGGCGTGGAAAGTTCCGGCCGGATGTATCGTGAACATCAGTACACCCGAGGGACCTCAAGTGGGTATGTCGCTGGACACTCCTTTCCCAGTATCGTTTAGCAGAAAGATGGAGTTGGTAGAATTTGAGGAAAGGCAGGAGATCCTTCTTTTCTGAAATGAGAGGACAAGATTTTTTTATTTTTTTGTTTTCTTATTTTTTTATTTTTTTTTAAAAAAAAAGGAGAAGAATCTAGAAGTTGACGTGAAAACCAACCACCGCCCCCCGCCCTCCCCGTCCGCCCCCCCAAAAATAGGAGACCTAAACATCTGGAATCTTCATAACCCCCGCGAACGCTTCTGGGCCAGCCGCACCCGCCAGCTCCATGCCTCCCACCTGACCACCCACGACCGCTTGTGGTCCGTCCTGCCCTACATGCGTCCCCTGGCCACCATCATCCGCGACACCCTGGGCCCCCAGTACGGCAAGGACGCCAACGGCGCCAGGTGCCACGACCTCCTGGGTACCCGGTGCGACCCTTACATCAACGCCGTCCTGAGCCAGGACGCCCAGTACGACTTCCACTGCCACTCCAACCTCGTCAGGGCCGTCGCCCCCCACGGCCTCGTCGAGTCCGACGTCCACGACGTCATCAACATCTTCCAGGTCACCGGGCTGGATGAGAGGGGGAGATATTTTATGAGTCCCTGTCCGGCCGATGAGGCTGATGAGCTCGAGTTTCTTGCCGAGCAGGATTTGTTGATGGCTCTGAGTATGTTCTCTCTCTCTCTCTCTCTCTCTCTTCTTTCCTCTTCTTTCCTCTTCTTTCCTCTTCTTTCCTCTTCTTTCCTCTTCTTTCCTCTTCTTTCCTCTTCTTTCCTCTTATCCTTATGCCATCATCATTCTTCTCCTACCCTTTCATCCGTTGCTATCCTATTCTCTGACAGGACAAAAGGCACCTGCCCTGGTGGTGACCTCTCGGCTTGGGGCTTCGGAGAAGACAGCGAGGCCGAGATGATCAAGTGCTGCCGTCCCCTGCACGTCAAGGTCTTTGAGCTGGAGGACAGGGACGTCCTGGTCAGGAATGGGTGGAAACCTGCTGAGAAGGCAAATTATAGGGGTATGCATGGCATGACGGTGCCTCAGGGCGAGGTCAGGAAGTGACGGGTGGTCTGCGAGGTATCATGAGCTTTTCTTGCGATTTATAGTGGCATGAGACATTAGAGGTGGGAGGTGGGGGGGGGGGGGGAGGGGTGTTGTGGCATGAGAATTAGATGTTCTATGAGTTAAGTCGTAGCAGCATAGCATGAGGAGGGTGCAGAGGAACGGTCGGATGGTTTCGTAGTGGGACATGGGCAAGAAAACACACCATGATGGAAATGTACAAGTGTATTGTCCTCTACCCGAGGCCGGCATGCATTCCAACTTGTTGGGCATTTGTATCGTAGTCTGGTGAATGTCTGTCTATACAGTGCGACCTCCCGCCTTCGTCTTCTACTTCCACAACTTGCCGAGCGACACCTCCTTGTCGTCGTGCTTGTTGAGGATCTTGGCCGTGGCCAGCTCAAAGTCCTCCTGGGTGACGTGGACCCTCCTCTCCCTGAGGGCGTACATCCCGGCCTCTGTGCACACGCCCTTGAGCTCGGCGCCGGAGCAGCCGTTCATCTTCTCGGCAATCTTGGTGAGGTTGATGCCCCTCGTCAGGTTCATCTTGCGGCTGTGGATGCGCAGGATGTCGGCGCGGGCCTCGATGCTGGGCGGGGGGAACTCGATTTTGCGGTCGATCCGGCCCGGACGGAGCAGGGCCGGGTCGAGGATGTCGAGGCGGTTGGTGGCCATGATGATCTTGATGTTCTTGGTGGGCTCGAAGCCGTCGAGCTGGTTGAGCAGCTCCAGCATGGTGCGCTGCACCTCGGAGTCGCCGCCCGAGGAGCCCTCCACGCGGGAGGAGCCGATGCTGTCGATCTCGTCCATGAAGATGATGGACGGGGCGTGCTCGCGCGCCATGATGAAGAGCTCACGCACCATGCGGCTACCTTCGCCAATGTACTTCTGCACCAGCTCCGACCCAGACACCCTGATGAACTTGCACGCCGTGTGGTGCGCCACCGCCCTGGCCAGGAGCGTCTTGCCCGTTCCGGGCGGGCCGTACAGGAGCACGCCCTTGGGCTGCGCGATGCCCAGCGACTCGAAGAGCTCGGGGTGCTTCAGACCGAGCTCGATCACCTCCTTGATCTCCTTGATCTGCTGATCCAGTCCTCCGATCATGTCGTATGTGCTGTCCGGCACCTTCTCCACCATCATGAGCGATACTAGAGGGTCGACCGATGAAGGGAGGAGCTTCTCGAGCTTGTAGCTGTCCGACAGGAGCGTCACACGCTTTCCGGGCGTCAGCTTGCCAACGTCGACATTGTCCGACACGTCGACGACTAAGATGGATGTCAGTCAGATTTCCCTCAACCATGGACAGCCACGACCGGAAAGGTATTATCAGGAAGCAGTGAATGGTGGGGCCGCAGATGACGCACCGTATTTGCCTTCGGGGTGCACCTTGACGAGGATCTTCTTGGTACTCATCACCTTGACCACCTCGCCCACATAAGAGCCAGGCTGCTGGAGGAGACCGAGCTCCTCCCTCAGGAGGCGGACGCGCGAGTTGTAGTCGTTCCGCTGGGCCTCGAGCCGACGCAGGGCGGCCTGGCCCTTGAGGATCTCGAGCTTCATGGCCTCGATCTTGTTGTGGTAGTACTCGTCGAGCGCCATCGCGGCGGTTCTTCTGCCACTGGCAGGGGGTATTGTCGGGTGAGGCTGTTGTCTGTTCTGCTCTCGTGTCGACGACGGAGAAGGAGGGGGGTAGGTGGGTGGCGTGGTGGTGACGGGAAGTCGTTGGGATGGTTCTGAAGCAGTCGTTGTGGTTGGCAATCTGGCCGCTGTCGTGGCCCGGGTCAATGATGGAGCTGAAGGCTGCAGCTGCATCGTAAGCCGCCGTGGTCGCAGGCAAATGCTCGGCAGGAACCAGGCCATCGGAAGACACATTTTACCGGTTCCGATACGCCTCCACTAATCTCAATACCACCACCGCGAACCAAAACCCAAAACCCACCCACCCTATAGGTAGAGAGAGCTACGGGGGAAGATGGAAGAAGGCAAGAGGATTAAGTCTGAACTGATGGGGATGGTTATGGTTTACACATCTGCGATGACTTGTTTATCTCGATGAGAATATCGACATCAATCTTGATGTGTGGTTATCTGAGTCGCTTTCTTCCCTCCGCCCTCCGTTAGACGTGCATGGTGTGAAGGGGACGTCAGTTGACCGAGCAGCGTCTATCATGTGTACATGCACTACCAACATTACCAGAACAAAAGACTGAGGATGTCGCAATATTGGAGGGCATAGGCGTAGACGGGGAAAAATCATGTGGCATCCATCAGAGAGACACGCAAGGCGAAGCTCACAGGCGAAGCTCACAGACCAAGTACACAGGTGAAGTGCACAGGTGGAATACGCAGGTAAGAAAAATGTGTTACGTGGAGGGGTGACAAGGCTGCTATGGTACCGGGAAGCGGTGACCTATGGCTATTGAGGTTTTTATCATGACCAGATATCATGGGTTTTTTTTTAAAATACGTTTTTACATGGAGGGCTGTACCTATATTACTCGTGCATGCTGCAGATGATCAGAACAAGGGCCGACTCGTACTCGTACGACAGACTGTCATCTCTCGACAGCACAACCTTTGCATGCAATGATATTCCACGGGTATTACTACTGCCACTGCCACCGAGAAACCAGCCCGGTGAATCCGGACCCAACCAAGTATGACGTTGGAGTGTCACGTACGAATCCGCAACACGCGTACGACGTGGTACCGTGCCGTGCACGTACGGATACGGAGCACGGAACGTGCCTCACCTGTACTCCGTATACCGTACAGGTATGATAATGATATTACCTGCCCGTACTCGTAGAGTCCTAGAGGCTAGTGGTGAACAGCCCTGGTCATCTGGATCGCGTCGGCAGTCTTTGACGCGGCAAGCTTTTGACGCTAAATGAAGCGCACCAGCGGGCCATCCTGCATGGGGAAGAACAGGGAACGTTTGATCTCGCCGAATCGAGATTGTTGTCGACATGAGGCAGTTATGCTGCTCTCAGCACAACCATGCCGTATTGCCATACTCGTGGTACTGTCTCATCTCGTGCATCAAGACATGCGCTGAGAAGAAGAAGGAGAAAAGGAAGAAGAAGGAGAAAAAGAAGAAGGACGAGGAGAAGAAGGAGAAGAGAGAGTGAGAGTGAGAGAGGGAGAGAGGAGAGGAGTGGCATGCGACCCTGCTGACAGACCCATATCTATCTGCGTCATGACGAGGAGGAAGACAAGCAGAGAGGTAGGAGAGGGGGATGAGAGAGTGGAGGGGGCCGACCTGACAAATGGGAGAAATGTTGGAGCATCACGAGCGCGACAGGTGGTATGGTTGATTAGCAGAAGGTTGCATGTACATGCAACATGCTGGAGGTTCAAGAGGGAGAAGAGGTGGAGTGGAGTAATAGTACGAAACTGTCAGAAGTAATGCAGATATTATATATCCGTAAATACGGCAAATTCGATGGACGATGATAATAACGCGCGATCCTAGAGTCTGGCTGCACTTCTTCCCACCTCGATTACTGGATACTGGGGCTCTGCAATCAAACAATATGGAGTCTGGGGCCGAGGATAGCGGACAGGCGTGACATCGCATGTACTCCCGTAGCGCTTGTAGATGTTACCTACAGCCCACCAGCCGCTGTATTCGTCGCTGTAACCGGTCACCTCTAGAGGCTGAGTGGTACCCCCCCGTACGGAGTGTGCTACGGTGCGGTCCATGGCAATACGGTATCAATACGAGTGCCAATATTGCTACTAGTATGGAAGGCCTGGGAATTAATCTAGACTATGGCAGCGCTACTGACAGCTAATCACTGACCTACCGCGTAACTTCAGCTCCCATCAACAGCACCTTTCCTCCTCGCCTACGTCTCTCCTACCTCCCCCCCCCCCCAAAAAAAAAGGGCCAGCCATCAACCGGCCCGTTCCCTCACCCCCTCTCGTTCTCGAACGACTCTTACTCTTCTCCGTCCTTTTCCATTCCATCCCCTCCTGTCTGGAGATCTTTCTTGTCCTAGACTTCTGGGTGTGCTGTCTTGCTCTGCGGTCCGAGGCTCACCATCGACCTCACCCCTCTCCTTTCTGTGACTCTCCTCGGTTTGCTTATGCATTCCTACATGTACAAGCACCGATAGCCAGACATCTTCTCGTCCCTCTCCAAGTTCCAGTAGCGAGAACCGTTAGGAGACGGGACGCACGCTCTCATCGCTTGCCACCGCCCTGCCGTGATATGCAACTCGACCACGCCTTCTCCACCTGAACAGACAGGCATCATGGGTCCCTCCCGACCCGAGGACCAGGCGGGCGAGGAACAGCAGCAGCCGCCTTCTCAGCAGCCCTCTCAGCAGTCGACCCCCTCGCTCTCCGGCAGCCAAGATGCTGCCCGGCTGAGACCCGAGGGATACGGTAAGTCTCGAGCGTCTCTTCCCACGCCGTCTGTCTAGGCTGGACATGCATATCTTTGGGGGAATGGCAAGATGATAGGCTAACCTCCTGTTCCGCTCTCTCTTTTCTCGTCGATATCCAGGATCGATACAGAACCCAACTCCGTCTGGCAGCCGCACTCCCCAGCCACCCACCACTCCCCGACCTTCGGGGACGCGACCGACACAGCCGCCCGCATCTCCCCAGATCCCTTCCTACAACAGGAGCGCTTCGTACAGCCGGTCGAGAAAGCCTCCTCTGACGCGCAGGATGTCCACCAAGACGCCCCACCGCGGCGCCGTCTTCTCGGCCGACGATGATCAGGACGAGGTCGAGGCCGACGTCGTTGCCGAGATCATGCGAGAACGGGACGCAAACCCAGGCTACAGCACCGGCCGCCGCCGCCCCGCCGCCCCGCCCAGCCTGTCGCACGTGCACTCCCGCGAACCCGAGGCCGACTCACGCCAAGCCGATAACGAGGTGCGCGAGCAGGAGACCAGCGCAGGAGACGACGACAACCACGACGGCGACGATGACCTCGACGAGGACGAGGAGCTTGACCTCGAGGATCACCTCGACTGCGACTCCGATAGCGACATCAGCGAAGCCGAGAGCTTCACCCTCAAGGACCGCCAGCAGGCCATCAACCAGACCCACCCCTTTGGTATCCGCGTCTGGAAGCCTGCACTCTACAAGAAGGACCGCTCCATCCAGGCGTCTGCCCAGGCTGACATCCACTCCTCCCCCGGCGGCCACGTGAGCAACTGGCTCCTCCTCTTCAACCTCGTCTGGTCCCTCGTTTTTGGCTGGTGGATGGCCCTGCTGGCCGCCATCGGCGCCGTCGTCTGTCTCCTCTTCGCCGCCTCCCCGAGCGGGAGGGAGTACGGCCGCGTCCTCTGGGGCCTGGCCACGTACCTCCTGTATCCCTTCGGCAGGCTCGTCCGCCTCGAGCTGGACGAGGCTTACCTGGACGAGGACCGCGACCAGGGCCGGAGCGTTTCCGAGTACGAGCAGTGGCAGCAGGGCGACCTCGAGTACGGCCGCCTCTTCTTCGGCCCCGACAACAGTGCCCCGACCCAACGCTCCATCGTGGGACGGTCCCGGAGGAGCATCGACTCTGATGCCAGCGAGACGGACGGCCTGCTCGGCCGGACGTGGCGCGGCCAGAGCGGAGGATCCGACGAGGGCCCCAAGACGAAGCGCCGCCTCTTTGGCCGCGGCGAGTGGAACGTTGGCCGTGTCATCTTCTTTGTCTTCTTCTATTTCCTCATCACGCCTTCGCTGCTCGTCGTGTCCGTCATCTGCTGGTTCCTCGTCTTCTGGATCCCCATGGGCAAGCTGACCATGCTGCTGTTCGACCACCTCCGTCGCCACCCGCTGGCCCTGTCCTTCGAGACCGACGCCGGCTACCCGCGCTCCCGCCACGCCCCCGACTCGACCATCCTGCTGTGCACGTACCGCGCCGTGGGCTCCAAGTACTGGAAGTACACGATTGACGGCACCAACATCTTCCTCATCAACCTCATGGCCGTCGTCATCTTTGTCATCTTCGACTGGCTCGTCCTGGACAGGCTGCTGGACGTTGACAGCCCCGTCACGTCGCCGGCCTTCCTCTTCTGCGGCGGCCTGCTGTCCATCATCCCGCTGGCCTACTTCATCGGACAGGCCGTCGCGTCCATCTCGGCCCAGTCGTCCATGGGTCTCGGTGCCGCCATCAACGCCTTCTTCGCCACCATCGTCGAGGTCTTCCTGTACTGCGTCGCCCTGACCCAGGGCAAGGCGCCCCTCGTCGAGGGCAGCATCATCGGCAGCATCTTTGCCGGCGTCCTCCTCCTCCCGGGCATCTCCATGTGCTTCGGCGCCCTCAAGCGCAAGACGCAGCGCTTCAACGCCAGGTCGGCCGGTGTCACGTCGACCATGCTGCTCTTTGCCGCCGTCGGTGCCTTCAGCCCGACGCTCTTCTACCAGATCTACGGGACCCACGAGCTCAACTGCCTCGACTGCGACGACTACCCGGTGGACGACGTCGACACGGGCCGGGGCGGTGCCAGGGACTGCCGCCGCTGCTACTTCTCTCAGGAGCCGGCCCTCAACGACAGGTTCTACCTGGAGGCCGTCAGGCCGTACTGCTTCTTGGCCGCCACCATGCTGTTCCTGTCGTACCTGATCGGCCTCTGGTTCACCCTGCGCACCCACGCGGCCGTCATCTGGAACGCCGAGGTCGAGGAGAAGCGCCACGAGGAGCACCTGCAGCATCATAGCCATCATCATCAGCAGCAGCAGCCGCAGCAGCACGCCCAGGCGGCCGTGGCCCGCTTGCCGGGTCCAGCTGGCCAGCCGTCCCACCAGGCCCAGACCCCGGCCGGGGCCGCGGGCGAGAGCACCGGCAGCGACATCCGCGACTCCAACGTGTACAGACGCATCCTGGGCTACTCCCTCAAGCAGGCCGGCCTACCCCACTCGTCGGCCGAAGCAGTCGCCGCCCGCGCCGCCGCCGGGAGCCAAGACCCCAACGGCGGTGCCCCGATCCCGACGCCCCACGTCGTCCCGCCCAAGGATGGCGACGAGGCCGCTACCGCGACGGCGGCCCGGTCCAAGTACCAAGTCCCCGGTCTCAGCGAGGCTGAGAGCTCGAGCCTGATCCGGCAGTTCACCGAGATTGCTGCCACGGCAGCCACCTACGTCTCGCGCGAGCAGCGCGAGCAGCGCACGGCCCGCAAGCCATCCAACGTGCACCAGGCACCCCTCGCGTCTTCCAACAGGGCCCCGTCCAAGGCCGGCGCCAACGAGGAGAACGAGTCTTCGGCTGCGGAGGTGACGGCCGCCGCTCAGGGCGGCGGTCACGGCGGACACGACGCGCCCAACTGGAGTCGCACCAAGAGCTCGGTCATCCTGCTGGGTGCCACGATCTTGTACGCCATCATCGCCGAGATCCTGGTGGACACTGTGGACGTCGTTCTGGAGAGCGTGGCGATTGATCAGAAGTTTTTGGGCATCACGCTCTTTGCGCTTGTGCCTAATACTACAGAGTTTTTGGTATGTCTTTTTCTTCCTTCTTTTTTTCTCTTGACTCTTTCTTTCCCCTTCCCTCTCCTGTTCTTCCCGTCTTCTCTCCTTCTTCTCATCCCCCCCTCACTGACCGACCCTCACAGAACGCCATCTCGTTCGCGATGAACGGCAACATTGCCCTATCGATGGAGATCGGATCGGCCTACGCGCTGCAGGTGTGCCTCCTCCAGATCCCGTGCCTGGTCCTCTTCACGGCGCTGTACACGGGCATCCCGGCGGGCGCGGACGTGGGCATGTACTCGTTCACGCTGCTCTTCCCGCAGTGGGACATGGTGACGACGATCCTGTGCGTCTTCCTGCTCAGCTACGTGTACAGCGAGGGGAAGAGCAACTACTTCAAGGGGAGCATCCTCGTCCTGACGTACCTCGTCGTCATCATCGGCTTCTGGTTCAGCGGGTACATGTCCGACGCCATGGGGGTGGAGAGGTTCGACGTCATGGGCGCGGACGGACGATATATCGCTGCTGGGAGGCAGGATTTCAGGACGATCGGTAGGGGGACGTCTGGGCGGGCGTTTTCTGTTTGATCTGTCCGATGCCTGCGTGTCATTATACATATATATATTTTTTCTTTTTTCGGTTTCCAAATCTGCGTCATTGTTCTTTTTCCCTCCCCCTTTTTTTCTGCTCATGCTCTTCCAAGTTTTCAAGTCTTTTTTTTTTCTTGACTATCAATACAGTTCTGGTCATTTGTGATGATTTCATGTTTTCTTAAAGTCATATGTTGGGGGGGGTTGGTTGGTTGGTTTGGTTTTGCCATGGTTGACGTGTTGGATTCCCTGAGTCATATAGTGATGCGATGTCTCAGATAGGTTGTATAATGAGGCCCGATACTGGGTTACGATGCATTTGTGGTGATGGCGTGCCGGTAACAAGACTCTGGTGTCACGAAACAGACGGAGATGAGAAGTCGGCAAAGTCAAGCAAGAGACGGGGCGATACTTGAGCAATATTGACAAGACTAGACTACCAGAGATAGGAAACATGACGTGTTCTACAGAAAGGTGCATGTGCATATATACATCTATATACATGCCTTGTATAGAAAAAGGTTGTAGAACAGAAGACCCTTCCTTCACATCCAAGGACAAGCCTCAGATTGCAATGAAAAAGAATAAAAAAGACACCTGTCAGACGTCCATCGGTACCCACCCCATCCGCACGCCCGAAGGCAGACCGCAGACAGGGTCGAGATCATCAAGTGAGACTGCAAGGGCAGCCCATAATACCATCTCTATACAAGCGAGAGCCTCGTTTCCCGCGAGGGAACGCAAGGACCCAACGCCGCCATCCTTTCGGACAGTTCGAGAGGACCGGGGGAGATTTTCACTCTAGGGTACCGAGGATATGCACTCATCAACCAGGGTGAGTTCTGTGGCTCTTTTAGGGAACCAAGAGTGGGTCGAATACTATAGAAATGATTCTCCTGCGAAGTTGTCAGTACAATCCTCTCTCTCTCTCTCTTTCTCTCTCTGGAAGGGAGAAGCAATGAGACGAGCATGGACATGAAGACATGTGCCGTGTGTTGCCAATAAGGTAAAGAAAAAGGGGGGGGGGGACATACTGAAGTATTGTCGACGTGAAGAAGAAAAGAAGAAAAGAAAATCAAATGGGGGGGAGGGAGGACGTCAATTTATACGTTTTCCGAGAGGTTCGCTTCACCGCCTTGGCAGAAAAAAAAAGGGCAGAAACGAAGAAAAAAATCAAAATTTTCTGTGGGGTCCATTAGAAAAAGGATTTTTTTTTTCTTGGACTTCACCGTACCATGTTACGAGAGGAGTAATATTATTAGAGAGTGAAAGACTTCCATGATTACGGGGTAGAACATCATTTTTTTTTTTAAAAAAAAAATCATCATCATCATCATTATTATTAATTATTTATCTACAGATTAGTCGTAGAAAAGATGCAAGGCCCCGCAGTGGAAAGAAATGATGAGTTACTCTGTTACCGAGGTGATGATATGTATTTCTGCCGTGTTCGGGTGCTTGCGGTAGATATTTTACCTGTGAATTGTGCGTCGTATCAGCCGTGCCTGATCTGTTGACGCTGCAAGTCAAACAACAGGTGCGATGGCTTCCAAGTGATGTTCCTGGAAACGTCTGGATGTTCAATCTCATATGGATTCTCGGTGTGGTATTGTGTAGTGTTGCATAGTATCCTGTATGATAGATTGTATGATAGTATATATATATATATATATATATAGGCCGTATATAATAATAACAGTCAGTCCTGTCTTTCCATCTCAAAAGTGCCGATATGATTGTCTACAGAAACTCCAAACACCTCTCCGGGTGAAAGAGCCAAGAGCCAGCCTGTTCACCTGTACAGTCCCTCCCTCTCAATCCACATCCTCACCTCCCCGTCCACCAACCCGTCCACGTCCCCTTGAACCTCGACAGCCTGCCTCACCCTCGAACTGCTCACGGAGCCACCGATACCATCCACCATCTCCACCCTACGCACCCAGTCCTCCTCGATACCGTCCGTCTCACCGCCATCCGCACCGTCAGCCTCACCCGCCACCGACGAGGGCGACGGAGATGACGACCTGCCCAGCCTCCCGAGGTACATACTCTGCTCCTCTCTGCCCCCCCACTCCCCATCCGTCCTCATCGTCACCCTCAACCTGGCCGAACGGAAGAAGGGATCCAGAGCCGCCCTCATCCCCCCGGTACCGGCATAGTATCTGGGGTTGAAGATCCGTACCAGCGTATCGTACCCGGCCAGGAAGGTCATCTCGCATCCGCTCTCACCCTCCGTCCCACCCCGACTCGGACCCGGGCCCGGACTCCAACTTGGACTCGCAGAGGTCGTGCCGCCACGGTAGAACCCGGAAGCAGCGATAGCCAGTGCTTTCTGGTGGAAGAAGGGCCGGCTCGTCACGCCCACGTCCACGGCTTCCAACCCGGTCGACGGAGCATCCGTGCGGACAGACGCAAGCAGTTCCCTCCCGAACCCTTCCATCATGCACAGACGGAGCGGGAAGCTGGCTGGTCTGGGAGCCTTGTCGGCATTCTCTACCGCCAGGAGAAGCAGGATCCTGGTACGGCTGGTCTGATGGATGTGCTGTGACGCAGCGGCAGCAGAAGCAGCAGCAGCAGCAGCGGAACGTGCCATGGCCGCGTGTGCCGTCGTGGGAGGGTTGAAGCTCGAGTCCAGGACGATGACGTCTTGGACAGATTGCTGAGGCTGCAGCACTTTTGGGATATAATCGTCCTCATCCTGTGCTGCGCCGTTGCCGTTGCGGGGTAGCAGCGTGCACAGCACACGGAATTGTTCGCCAGACGAGGTGAATGATGTCAGGGACCGCGAGAAGTAGTCGGCTAGAAGTCTCGGATCGCGACTCATGGCGTCTTGCCTAGTATATATCTGACAGAGAAGAATAGAAGAATGAGAAGAAAGAAGAGGGAGAGAGAGAAAAAGGCAAGTACTCCGTCGTTGATATGTTGATGAACTGATGGTTTCGTCTTCTTTTCTCGTGGTGTGAGTTCTCTACTAATGATAGTACGAGTACGAGTATTAATATTATTACTCAGAGCTCACTTTCTAACCGAGTGGTGTCTTGTACATGCCTCATGAATCAAACCACAGTATGTCGATAAAAGGAATGAGGAACATGTTGAAAAAGTGACAACCTCATAATATCCATAGTAATTGACAATAGAATAAATTTGAAAGATGAAGAGCAAAGAAGAAAAGAAGAAACAAAAAAAAAAACAAAAAAAAAAAACACGCCAGACAGCAACATCATGCTACGACATCAGAAATTTGCATCCCTTCCCGCATCCATGACACCCCTGGAGAACCACTCAGCCATTGTCGAGAACCTGTCGTCGCTGCTCTCCAGGTCACTCTTGAACAGCTCGTGCTTCCCAGCCCTCTCCCTCTGTCCCTGCCTCATCTTGCGTATCATCTCGTTCTCTCCGGCGCACTTGGGACACTCGGCGCCCCTGCCGTCGTCGTCGTCCGTGCTGCGCAGGCATCGCTGGTGGAAGCTGTGCTTGCAGAGGAAGTGCACCGCCGGCAGGTCCAGTCCCTGGCCGCAGTCGGAGCACCGCGTCGCCTGGAAGACGACCGGCTTGCTCGTCAGCTCCGCGAGCTCGGCCCGCCGCTTCTCACTGTCGGTGCGGAGGCCCGCCGTGCGCTGCTGGTTCGAGGCAATCTCCCTGCGCTGCCGGGTGATGGTCCCCTCGAGGTACGGCTTGACCATGCCCATCGTGGCCACGCCGCCGTTGGCGCCTCCCCGGTGGCCCGCCAGCGTCTGGATCACCTGGAGAGGAGCCATCAGCCCGTCCCGGTCGATCCTGTCCAGGATGGCCGCCAGCTCGTCCTGCCCGGCCTCCTCGAGCACCCGGGGGTCCGACGTCAGGTACGTCAGCGCTGCCGGGTACAGCTGCGGCTCCTCGGGGCCGTACTTGGCCAGGGCCTTGAGCGCGCCCCTCGTGTCCTTGGCCGATGTGTAGGACCGGAATATGTCGAGCAGGAGGCCCGCCTGCTCCCTGACCAGCACCGTGCCGTCGCCAAAGTTGGACAGGTGCGAGAGCAGGAGGACGTCGGAGCTCTCCATGGGCACGTGCTCGCCCTCGATGAGCTTCTTGGCCTTGGCCTCCCACTCCTCCTTGTTCTGCGGCCCCTTCTGCCGCGACTTGAACAGGTACATCTCGAACAGCGTCGTGTACAGGTCCGTGCGGTGGGCGTCCTTGAGCCCGTCGTCCTCCAGGCAGGCCTCGAGGAACACGATGAACTCGTCCGGGTGGTCGATGAACGACGAGAATGCCGTCCGAGGCGGCGGAGGGGTGTACTTGGGCCCCGAGACGCTGTCCTCGTCGGGTACGACGCCTCCGTCAGGCATCGTCGGGCGCGGCCCATTGTTCGGCGTCCCGTTCGTGGGCGTGCTCATCGAGAGCAGGTTCGACAGGTTCTGCACCGCGCTCGCCGCCCCGGCTGCGAACCCTGCAGATTCCGAGGGGGACCCGCCGCTCGTCGCCGTCGTCGTCGTCGGAACAGCTGTCCTCCTGGGCTTGTAGTTGCTGGTGTAGTACTCGACGAAGAGCTTGGTCGCCTCCGCCGGGCAGTTTTCGATGAGCACCCTAGCGTACCTCTGCATCGAACCGTAGGCCTATTCGGGGGTGGAGACGTTGTCAGATCATCTGCCTCGAAGGCCGCGCGCGCGTGGGCAGCGTTCAACATACCACTTCCGGGTCTTGGCGCCAGATGAATTCCAGGGCTTCGGCATACGCCTTGGAGTCCTCAACGAGGATGTCGACGACGAGATCCGTCTCGCCGTGCTTCCTGGCGAGGTAGGCGGCCTGGTCGTAGTATCCGCCCTGGCGGCACATGGCAATGGCCGTGTCCAGATCGAACTTGAGGTCGCCGGGCGACTTGATGAAGCTCTCGAGCTTGTCAATGTCCTTGAGCTTGGCGTAGCAGTTGAGGAGGAGTGTCGTGTGATCGGCCGTGGCCTTTCTGTGCTCGTGGAGCTGCTCTAGATACTGGATGAGGTTGTGTATGCGTTGGCTGTCGAGGAACTGGAGCGGGCGGGTCGAGTCAGCACAGGCAAGGCGTCCGAGTCCAGAGCGCATATGCATTACCTTTCTGATGACCTGCGACGGCTCCGTCGTGTCGATGGCACGGATGTACTGGACCATGGCACCGTCAAAGTCGGCCTTCTGGTAGAGGTGGTCGCCGAACCTGCGGTAGATGAGGCTCTGCTGCTCGGGGCCGAGACCCGCGTTCTGCGCGAGGGCAATGGCCAGAGGGTACATGTTTCTCTGGTAGAGCATCTCGAGCCTCTGCTGCAGCGTCTTTTCATGGTAGCGGTGAATCTGAAGGAGAGCCGGTTGTTAGCCCGCATGCACGGCATCGTGCTACACCAGAGCGTGCCATACCTTTCCGTCCTCCGTCATCGTATACAAGTCGCCCCAGACCTCGAAGACGAAGCGGACGGGGGAGATCAGCGTTTCGGTGTGGGACACGATGCGCAGGTCCATCTCGAGCAGGACAAACGTCGAGGCGCTGAAGAGCTCGTCGCTCACACCGCCGAAGCGACGCCTGATCGAGCCCGAGTTCCGACCGTTTGTAGCGGCAGGCGGACACACGAGGGCCGCGTACCCGCGGTACATGTCGATGGACTTCTTTGGCGACTCGTACGCCTTTGGGGGACCTCGCCCGTCGAGGGTGTACGTGTATATGGCGTCCTCGCGGGCCACCGCGATGTCACCCGTGCGCTTGTCGAGCGTCATGCATCCCCATCCGCAGCCGACGTCCTCGACCGTCTTGGGCGGCAGGCCCTGGCCCTTCCTCGACAGGCCAACCTTGAGTATGCGCGACGTCGTGGAGACGAAGAGGGTCGTGAGGAAGTCGTCGTCGACCGACAGCTCGAGGCCGGTGACGGGCTCCTCGGACTCGAAGACGATGCGCTGCTTGGTGCCCAGGTCGTGGATCAGGTCGCCGCGGATGACGGCCACGGAGCCGTTGGCGAAGCCCACGGCGATCTGTTTGAGGTCGTCGACGGCGGCAAAGGCGGAGATCTATCACCAGACATTCGCCGTCAGCTCGATGAAGTGGACACGCCAAACCCCCTCCAGGGGCCGAGGACTGCCGTCCCGGAAGACCTACTGGAAACTGCCTCCTCGCATTGCCGATGCTCACGGTGCTGAGGCACGTAGGCAGATTGGTCTTTCTGACCAGCCTATCGAGGGCCCAGACCTTGAGAACGGGCTCACTGCTCATATCCTCCTGATTTCCATCCTGTCAGCGCACGTCCAAAGACCGGACAGAGAGAGGCCCGGGGTCCGACTCACCGCCACCGTGACCAGCAGGCTTGTCCCCTCGACCTGGCGCATGTGCGTTATCCTCCCCGTCTCGTGTGCCTGGAACCTCCGGAGCACCTTCCATCCCCTGCCGACGATGTCGACGAAACCATCTCCCGACCCGAGGAAGAGGCTGTCGGAGCCTGCGCAGACGCTCGATGTCTCGTTGCTCTCCAGGAGCTGCTGGGTCTCGCTGTCGGGGAGGGAGACCTGGGCGACTTCGAAGAAGTCAAACGACTTCCACTGCGGGGACGGGTGCGACGCACGCACGTTAGCAGCTCGAAACAGAGATCAAAAGAAGGGATCCTGTGCAGACGACTTCCTGCCAGAGGCGGTCTGTCCTGTTCAACGTACCGAGAGGGCCATGATGTCGCATTGATGATGATTGAAGAGGGAAGGAATACGCGCTGCTGCTGCCAAGGTGTGGCGGGCGATGACGATGGTGGGTCCCTATCAGAGCTGCTCCAAGGCTCCCGTCGAGTATCTGGGCACTGTGAGGGACTCTCTTCATCATCTTACCACCACCACGGTCCACCCATCCATCACACTACATGTACAGGTAGTGACTGGTAGCCATGAGTACAGTTTGTCCTCGAAACAGTAGCGATAGTCGGACATATATATATACATATAGAGAGAGAGAGAGAGAGGGAGAGGGAGAGGGAGAGGACCCCTGCTGGCTCTTGCTCAGCGGGTACAGCATCCAAGGTACACTCGCTGTCGCTTCAATGTGTTGCTAGTAGTATTGTTACTACTACGACTACTACTAGTATCGAAATATTGCCTACTCTCCCTAAACAAGTCGGTTCATTCTCAGGACTCTACACTATCAACGTGGACGGTGTATACAAGGGGAATAGGGTATCATTTATACAGAATCCGTGTCCAGTAGCAGAAATCATCATTCCAATAGCACCAGCAAATCCTACGCGCAAATCGCACGCCTTGACCCTCACCCATCGCCAGCATCGTGACCCAAGAGGAAAAGAAAGAGAAATCGAGAAGAGAGAAGGGGACGTCGGAAGAGAACAAGCAGAGAAGAGAAAGACAGCATAACTCATGCAAACCCCGAGAGGCGCTCAACCGCCGCCTCCATCATTCCTCCTTGGTAGGCCTCTGGCCCCCTGCCTCATCCCCCGCATTCTCGTCGACCTTCTCAGTTATGTCGCTCTTCTCGCTGGCCGGGGGCCCTGCCAGAGGGCTGCTGGGCCCGGCAGTGTTGACTCCCGTCATGCTCTCGGTCCTGCTGTGGCCCGGCCTGCCGCTCCTGATGCTGGCGGCGTCGCCCTGCTTTGCGTAGTAGCTGCTGCGGTCGCCCTGGATGGCGGGAGGTATGCCCGTCGACGAGTAGATGCTGTTCCGTTCGCGCGCGGTCCCGCTGTGGAGGGCAGGGGTGCTCGCCATGGCCGACGACTCGATGTTGGCGCTGAGCACGCTGAGGGGAAGACTCTCGCGGCTGCCTCCCCAGACCGAAGAGGGGGCTAGCGCCCTGACCGAGGCGTCCGTGTCCATAGACCGACGGCGCCGCCGCTTGCTCGAGGACGCAAGCGTCAATATGGACGCATTATCCGTCAGCAGCCCGTTGGCGGTGGCCGCCACGTAGGTGTTCGGAGCGCCGTTGGGCGCCAGATGGGCGGGGATGGCAGACGCGGGGGACGTCGAAGGGAAAGGCTGGGAGAACTGGATCGACTGAGCGTTGTTCTGCGTCGAGGGACCGGAGGCGGGGCTGCTGCTGTTGGGGCCGCCGCCTGCGTGCTGGGCCACTGACTGTATCGTCGTCAGAGTCGTGGCCAGGGATTGTACAGAAGGGGCCGGGCTGGAAAAGGTGCTGTCACCACCCTTCCTCGAATCTAGCCCGCCGCCCACTGTGTGATTGGTCCCGGTGACCGAGCTCGTACCGTGGCTCGGGGCCTTGATCGAGCGAGGGGCGTCGTGGTCTGTAGATGCCGTCGTGCCGGTGGCAGGCGGCTCGTTCGTCTCGGTCGTGGACGGGCGGCTCGACTGCTCGAGGGACGTGCTGCTCTCGCCCTGGCCAGTCGCAGCGCTGACGGAGCTGTCGTCGTGGTTGTTGGCGTAGCCGCTGACGGTGCCGGACTCCGGGTACGGGTTGTTGGCTTTGCTATTGCGCTTCTTCTTCTTCATGTTCCGCCGCGGCCCTTCGCCGTCGGACGAGGACTTGAAGTTGGTGAGTTTCTTGACCCATGTCGAGAAGGGCCGTCGCCGCTGAGCCTGCTGGGCTGCTCGAGGGAGGAGACGGGGTCAGCCTGTAGCTTGCCTGTGGCGCACCGCAGTAGGATACATACCTGTAGAGTTGGGGGTGGCGGTGGTGGTGGCCATCGAGCCGTGGGCGCCTCGCCTCTGGAAGTAAACCGATATTTGAATGCAAGCCCAACAACGCACCGGCGAGGTGGGACAAGGCTGTGAGGAGGATGAGAGCAGATACTCCCAAACGCAGGGGGGCGGTATAGAAGGACGCTTTGACCAGAAGAGAGATGCCGGTCAGCAAGCAGGTGCAAGTTTTCGACACCCAGAGATAGATGGCGTGCGCTCGGGACTTAGTGGAGATGGCGTGGGCAGCCGGAGATGGGATCGTAGACGACCGGACGCATAGATTGAGAGACTGGGAGGGAGCGGGTCCATGGCCCCTGACGTCTTCTGGGGTAGATCACGTGAGACTGTCGTCATTCTGCCTAATGAGATGGGACGGTAGGCGTAACGGGCGCAACGTCTGCCATCGCTATACTACGAGTGTATACATATACATATACATATATATATATATATATATATATATATATACATGTGTATATATAAAAGGCGAGCCACATCTGAGGAGACCAGGTTAGGCTCACGAAACAGAGCCAGAACTGGATCGCTCGCGAGTTCCATCTGGCTGACTTGCATTGCTCGTCGCGGGCCGATGATCGAGGGAAGACCCTAGACGCAGACTGCTTGCTCACGTCGCTCTCGAGCGGAGCCCTTGCATATACGGGTGCGGTGCTGGGACTCTGAACCCTGGACCGAGACGGGACGTCGTTAGCTGCACGCCATCCGCCAACCATCAAGGACCCAGTTACCGGCCATCATGAGCTGCAGCCCTGGGCCATGTCCATCAAGCAGCTTCCAGACCACGTCGTCGACAAGCTCAGATCCTCCGTCACCATCACTTCTCTGAACAGCGTCGTGTTGGGACTTCTCAGGAACTCACTTGATGCCGGCGCATCCAAGGTAGAGATTACGGTCGACTACTCCAGGGGAAACTGCACTGTTCAAGATGACGGTATCGGAATACCCTCGGATGAGTTTCAGGAGGGAGGTGGTCTGGGGAAACCCCACCGTACGTGGCCTCACCCCCTCCCCTGTATGTGCCCTCGACAGCATGCATTCCTGACTGACAATCGCCAGACACCTCTAGGTTTCCTCCAAGAGAAGCCATTTTTGGGAGGCACGGAAGATTCCTGGCGGCCTTGGCTAACCTGTCCCTCCTGTCGGTGACCTCCTGCCACGGGAGCGACGCATCGTACAACTCGCTGCTACTACACCGCTCCAGAATCCTGGCGAGGCATCTTCCTGCATTGCCAGAGCAGACCGCAATGTTATCGGACCATGGCACACGCGTTGTGGTGCACAATCTGTTCGGCTCCATGCCTGTCAGGGTCAAGCACAGGGCTGTGATATCAGCCGATCGTTCCGGCACCGACAAGGAATGGAGGAGACTCGTTGCAGACGCGGTGGCCACTATGCTCTCGTGGAACGCGGCAGCGATGATATCGCTCTGCGAGGTCGGCTCGCAGAACAGTGTTCGCCTGAGGTCACCAGACGGCCCTGATCTGACCCTGCGCACATCGAGGCTCCTCACTCAGGCATCGCTGGCTGATGCGTACCCCCTAAGCTCTTGGATACCTATCTCGGCTTCAGCCGGGCACATTACGGTAAGAGGTTGCATAGCGACCACTCCCGTAAGCACCAGGCGAGCCCAGTTTATAAGCATCGGCATCCATCCCCTCCCGAACGAGTGCGGTACAGATGCCATCTTTCAGGAGGTCAACAAGGTCTTCAGAAACTCGAGCTTCGGTGCTATCGACGAACGCGTACCGGACGTCCAGACTGTTGGCAAGGATATGAAGAGCCGCAAGGGTGTTGAGCGTTGGCCGATGTTTTACTTTCGTGTACGGATCCGCGACTGCTCTCCGGTGAACGATGCGGACGACATTCTGGATGGCCAGGCAAACCAGCTGGAGAGGATACTGGATCTCCTAAAGGCTGTATGCTACGGCTTCCTCGAGAAGCAGCATCTGCGTCCTCAAAGAATCCACATGTCCAGGAATGACGAACCGCCCTTGTCGACATCCAAGTCTCTAGGTCGACCCAAGACCTTCAGAGAAGGCCGCAGCCACCTGAGCGGTGGTCTTCCTAGCCGATCTTCTCCGCTTGGTGCCGGAGAGAGCTCACGAGTCCGCAGCGACAGTCCCTTTGACAGCTGGCAGCGCATCAAGGTGGGCCACGCGGCGAAGACGAGCGGCGGGCAGAAGGGACGGCCGCACGATACCGCGCCTAGCGAAGCCCCTAGGTACGGGCGACTGGCTCAACTACGTGGAGAGGATGTCGGCGGTGCCGAGGAGACTAGTCCTTACTTTGGTGGCCGTCTAAGCCTTGCTTGCCGGGGAGGAGACAGCGAAGCGTCTAGGAAAAATGAGGAGCAAAGCGCATGGCTCAAGGAGGTGCTCCAGTCAGGGGAAACCCCGGCGTTCGATAACGTCCCTCGGGCTGTACCCCGCGCGTACGATGATCCTGCCGTGCCATGCAATCACCCACACGCAGCGGGCCAGGCTACGTTCGAGTCAAGGTCGGTCAACATGAACGGGCGTATATCCAAGGCAGCGCTGGCGGATGCGGTAGTCGTCGGCCAGGTCGACCGCAAGTTTATCCTTGTCAAGCTTCTGCTGGACGGCGGCGCCGAGGGAGTAAGCGGCAGGGAACCGTCTGCGCTCGTCATGCTGGACCAGCATGCCGTCGACGAGCGCTGCAAGCTGGAGGAGCTCATGGGAGACTACTTTGTACAGAGCCGCACGGGCAGATGCACGGCTCGGACCGAAGCTCTCGAGCGGCCTCTCACCTTTGAGATTGGCTTGCGCGAAGCCGACAGCCTCGAGGGGAGTCGGCAGCACCTGAATGCCTGGGGCGTATCCTACCACCTGTCCAGCAGACGGACGGCGGCGGCGGCCTCCCGAGGCCGATCCCGAAGCCGACAGATTGCAGTCACCAGCTTACCCCCGAGCGTCCTGGAACGGTGCAGGGCGGAGCCGAGGCTCGTAATAGACCTCTTGCGCGAGGAGAGCCGGAAGCTCGCCGAGGACGAGGGCGCACTCCCGGCCAGCCAGGCTGGCGATCCGAGGGACGAGGGCGACGAGGGCGACGAGGACGATGGTGGTGGCGAAGAAGACCGCGGCTGGCCCGGCCGTTTCCACGGTTGCCCCAGCGGCATACTCGAGCTACTGCGTGCGCGCGCCTGCCGCAGCGCCGTCATGTTCCAAGACGTGCTCACGCATGGAGAGTGCGAGGAGCTGGTCCGGCGGGTGGCGAAGTGCGCGTTTCCCTTCCAGTGCGCTCACGGGCGACCGAGCATGGCGCCGCTGGTAGATCTGGGAGAGATCGGGTCGAGTGATGAGCCCGGCCTCGAAACGTAGACGTGAATCAAGACGTGCGTGTACATTGCAAGACGACACGGACATGGTGATGCAACTCGTTGAAATATGGTACCATTAGAGAGAATTTCCCCCCACCCCCATCGCAACACCAAATAAACAGATAGCAAAAAAAAAAAGATATATATATATAAAACCAAAGATGCAGCCGACGACGCCATGTATCCCAACTCCAAAACCCTATTTGCCAAACGGGGTAAGAACACTGATAACTAGAAAGAAGATGACACAAGAGTATAAACAAGTACAAGGGGAGAAGAGGGTTAGAGGAAAAAGATTGAAGAGCATGTCAAATCATTCCGTCAGTATATATCAGGAGGCTGGGCGCGTACGCGTCACCTAAGAGTTGTCCTGCTTAGAATTCTGAGCCTCCATGTCGGCAAGTTTATGCTGCTGAGCTTTGGCCTTGGCCTCTTTCTCCTCGGAGGAAGACATTTTGACCCAGTCCTTGATACGGGCGTCCCAACGGTGGCTGTTTTTTTTCTGGCTGTCAGTTTTGTTTGTGTTTCTGAGGAGAGCATAGATGTTTGAGGGAAGAGGGGAGAGGAGATGGGATGATCGAGAGATGCAGAGAGCAGAGAGGAAGACATTGTTGGGGGGGGGGGAGACATACCCTTCCCACTGTTCGGCAACTAGACCCTTCTCCTCATACTCATCGCTGAGGATACGCTGAAAGTTATAAGGGACATTTGCCTTGACGCCTTCGAAGAGGGAGAGGCGCATGGGCCAGAGGTCGGTGGAGTCGTAGCGGTGGTTGTTCTTGCAGCTCCAGAGGCCGGGGCGATCCTCGTGGCGCTCCCTGACGGCAGTGATGTCGATGAACATGCCGTTTGAGGTGTCGATCCATCGGGCGTCGATGATGTTGCGGCCGTCACCCTTCTTCACCTCCGAGTGGTGGGGGTTGACGTCCAGCAGGTAGGAGCGGGTCTCGACGGTCGGGGCGCCGGCGACGGCGGCGGACAAGGTGACGTTGTAGGCGTGCTCGGTGCCGTTGAGGTTGTCGCCCAGCCAGGTGAGGGTGTGGTTGGAGACCTGCATGTCCAGGTCGTAGTCCCACGGCATGACCTGGCCGTTCCACCACCAGCCCAGGAGGGTGCCGTGGGCGAGCCAGGTCTCGATGCCGTACTGGCGGAACGTGGTCAGGTACGACTGCACCAGGCCGCGGAGGACCTCGCGGTGCTCGGAGTAGGGCACCTCGGACTGGTAGTACCGCGCGTCGTAGTGGCTCAGGGCCAGGGAGCCCCCCGGCTCGCGGAAGTACTTGGGCGTCTTGGCCTTCGTCTCGCGCGTCTGGATATTCGTCGTCGTCCCGTGGCCATCGCCAGGCCTTGTCGTCGTCGCCGATACCGTGGCTGCCAGACCGAGAACGGTCGCTAGTCGTAAAAGCAGCATGGTGGCTGGGTTAGGCGGCCAACTTTGTGATGGGGAAAAGAATGAAGAAGGAGAGAGGGTCGTAGATGGGGTTTTGATCGATAGGGTCCCCTTTGAGAAGGAGAGAAGAAGGAAGAAGAAGAAAAGGGGCGATCGAGTATGACGATCAATTCGGGTTGTGTTGAAGAAGGAGGGGAGGAGGGGGAGGGGAGGGGGGGGAGGGGTGTGTGTGTTGTTCAGATGATGAGAGAGAAGAAAAAATGAATAAAAGGAAGAAGAAGAAGGAAACTGGGGATTTTGCTGCAATCGACTTGTGATGATGTGGCCAGCCCCTAATCATAACAGAAAAGGGAAAGAAGAAGAAAAAAAAAAGGACCAAAAATAAATAATAATCTGACACGCCTTGTATCGTATTCGTTTAAGAAGGAACAAACACCCCAACGCTCCGGTTTCGTACAAGCACAAGGTCATGGCGTAGCCTGTACGAGCGAGTGCTCGTAGGGCCACGAGACTGCAATACCCTTCTCAACTCCCTCTTCTCCTACAAGTCAGCAGCATCACATACCGAGTATCTACTACCGTAGTGCATATAGTATCATGCGTACCCGTACGGTCTCCTACGGATACTTGTATTTTTATTGCGCAAAGAGCCCAGTTGCTGGCCACGGTTCGGACTGTGACGGGGCCCTCAGGGAACATGGATCCTGATCAATAGCCGCTAGTCCGGCCTGCGACCCTTGTCAGGTCCATTGGGCTGTAGCCTGCAGGTTCTGTACGGGACCTCCGTACGACCACATGTATTCTGTACCCGTCCTCGTAGGCCGTTGTTACCATCATTATCATTACTAATACTCTGTATACCGATACTCTGTATACCGATACTCCGTATATGAGTACCCGTCCCCCCCCCCACAAAAGTTTCTCCCTACGCTGGTCCCGTTCCGGAATTGCGTCGCGTGCTGTCGTCGCAACACACGGTCCACAACTTCGTACGCATATGAACNCCCACCCACAAAAGTTTCTCCCTACGCTGGTCCCGTTCCGGAATTGCGTCGCGTGCTGTCGTCGCAACACACGGTCCACAACTTCGTACGCATATGAACCTGTACGAGAAGTATTGGTCTCTTCTCGCCTAGGGATATCGAACTCGTTACATTGGGATACGGGTCAGTCCAAAGGTCATTACATCTCGCTATACTACCCGGTCAAACAGGTAGTATTCCTTTGCTGTACGGATACATGCGTGCGCATACAGATTACTCGTATTACTGCCAGCCCGTGCTCGTCATCAGACCATCTGTGGCTGTGCATAGCATCGGCCGGGACCAACTCTCTCGTACGCGGCGCCACATCCCGTGCAAGTCAAGGCTAAGCTTTCAAAAAGTACGAGGCAATAATATCCGTAGTATTCACGACAATTGACTTTACCAGGAGAAATGTTAAAAAGTATTCTTTTTTTTTAAGAAAAAAAATAAAATCTTCTTCTTCCTACAAAAAAAAAAAAAGGGAATCCCAAGTTTTAGTCTGAAACATGCAAAGGATGACGTTTTGTTCAAGTTGCGTCTGCTTGATTGCCTTGGAGACTGTTACAGAGTATATAGATGTATTACGCGTCACCATCCTACATGTAAACCCAGTAGACACTGATGGCAACAGTTCTGACAAAGGAAGAGAGGAGAGCCAGAATACTGATAACAAAGAGAATGAGAATGATAATAATGATAGACCAAGAATAAGCGAGTAAACAAATGAGCAACCCGGATTTTTATAATAATAAAAAAGAAGAAAAAAGACTATAAAAATCCGAGTTGTAGCCCAAAGCAAAACAAACCAGTAAAAAAGAAAAAAAAAGAAAAAAAGAAACCAATTGAATTGGTTGGCGGATCTCTCCCGCCGGGAATTGAACCCGGGTCTCGAGCGTGACAAGCTCGCATACTGACCACTATACTACGGAAGATGTTTGGCTGTTGAGCAGCCAACGTAGTGAGAGGAATTGTTGAGGAGCGAAAGGAAACTTAACTTTATAAAGGGTACAGCCATCTAGTCAACTAATTTCCGACCTCTGACCTCTTACTCGTACACATATTATAATATACCATCCATCACATGCCCTATCCAACATCAACGTATCCGAGTAAAGACAAAAAAAATAAAAATAAGCAAATACTTAGAAGAACGTTTTCGGGAAATCGGGAAAGATTGAAAAAAAAAAAAAAAAAAAACCTTTTCACAGCAAGGAAAAGATCAGTGCTTGACAAAAAAAAACGCTCCAGACAGAAATCCCCTTTTCCTCCGACAACCCCAAGCAGCTACTAACATACATCATGTGGCAGAGAGAAGAATGTTGATGGAAACAATGGAAACAAAAGGCGTACAACGGGGAAGAGTACCGGTATTTCTTCACTCCCATAATACATGAGAAGAATAAACAAAAGAGAAGGAGAATAAAGATATGAGAAACCGTCCTCCCTCATCCTCCCAAGTCCCCCCTCTTCCAAGCAATAGGGAAAAATACAAGCTGCAAAAAAAAAAAAAAAAAAAAAAGAAACACCTTTCTGATTTATCGCGCAAACACCTTGACCACTCCGTCGCCTCCTCCGCTGACCACCCACTTTCCATCGCGGCTCCAGACGACAGAGCACACGCCCTCGCCGCGCATCACGCGGTGCGCCGTCATCTCCTGCGTGCAGGATCGCTTCCCAAGGCTCCAGAACCGCAGGGAGGCGTCGTGTCCGGCGCTGACCAGCTCCAGACCATCCGGACTGAGAGACAGGCTGGAGATGGCGTCGGGGTGAGCGAGCATGTTGTAAGTACATTGACCTGGGTTGTTCCTGTTAGCCGTGCTGAAGAATAGGAAATAGAGAGAGAGAGAGAAGGAGGAAGAGTCGAGACATACCACTGTTGGCATCGAAGAAACGGATAAAACGGTCCTCGTGTCCAGAGATGATAGTGCCCTCGACACCAGAGCCAGCCATGGACCGTCCTCCGCCCGTGGGCCATCCCGACGATGCGCTGCCTTCGTCCTCGCCGCTCGTCCGGTGCTGTCCCTGGTCGAGACCCACCGTCGTGGCGACGACGGCGTTGACGCTCGTGGCCGGCGTCCCGTCGTACGTCTCCGTGCTGGCCATGTTGCCCACGGGTTCGCCGGTTCGCGTGTCGTAGACCACGACGGCAGAGTCTGCGTACGAGACGACAAACGACTCGCCCGACGTCCCCAGCGCCGTGATCGACGTGGGGCTCGCCTTGGATCCGTCCGCCCGCGCCACCTTGTGCACCAGCGTGCTGTGGAAGGGCGAGTTGGACGCCATTGTCGGCTGGGGAGTGTTGGGGAAGCCGCTACCGGAACTCATCGAGTTGCCACGCACCCGTCCGCCGCGGCCCGTCATGCTACGGTTGGTCCCGGGCTGCGGCGAGCTGAGCTGCGGCGGTGCGCTCACCGACCACAGGTGCACGTAGCCGTCGGCGGATCCCGACACCAGCAGGATCCGGTCCGCGCTGCCGTGCGGGCTCGACTCGCCAAACACGGACCCTAGCGTCGCCGGCAGGACGCACAGCGCCCACACCGCGTCCGTGTGTCCGTTCAGCGTCGCCTTGGGGTCTACCCTGCCGCGCTCCCATACTCGGATCGTCGAGTCCTGGCCGCCGGAGAAGACCCATCCGTCGCCCTGGGCCCGTCCGCCCGTCGAGAAGTTGGGTGCGGGCGACCAAGACGTCAGGCTGAGAACCGCGCCTGCATGGCCCCTGTGCGTAAAGTTGGCCGTCACGTCCAGGTCAGAGGCTGCGTTTACCAGTGAGCCTGCGTGGCCGTCCAGCCGTGGGATATGGAAGCGCTTGATCATGCCGTCATCTCCGGCTGTGCAGACCTCGGGCTCACCGGGGCTGCCGCCACCTGAGAATATGACTGTGCGGACGGCACTGAGATGCCCGCGCAGGCCGAAACGTAGTTTGAAGCTGCCTGCCTCAGTCTTCGCAGCGGTGCTAGATCCCAGTTCGTGCTCGCCACTGCGTCTCCGCGATGCCGAGCTCTTTCTCCTGTGACCGCCAGCGAGGCGGTTTGGCGACTTGGGTAGGCTGTCGGCATTGGGGAAGACGTCGGTGTCGGGCCGGTTGGACGTTGACGGGACAGCCTGTTGCTGCGTGCTGGGATCCGGGGACGTGCCCTCCGGGAAGACCCAGGCATCGGGGTCGGATGTGGCAGGGGGTGGGCCACCTCTGTGGTTCTGGTCGGCAGGCTCGTTCATGCCGCCGAGAGCCTGGGCAGCGGCCTGAGCCGGATCGGGCATACCGGAATCGACGGGACGGGTCGTGACGGAGACTGAGTTCCAGTCGTCGGACGACTGGTATGCGCCGGGCTGAGCCTCGCTGTTAGACTGCACCATAAGCTGCGGCTGAAGGTCCGACTTGGGGGGGATGAAGGCGTTGGCGTTCTGGTGGGACGGGGGTTGCGCGTGGTTGGGCGCCTGGTGCTGCTGCCTCGGGTCGACGTCGGCTACGTGGTTCTGCATCGGTCGGTGCTGCATCGGATACTGGCGCTCCATAGGCTGAGCACCGGGTATACCATAGGCGTCAACCTCGCGCAGGTCCTCCATCATCGGCAGGGGTGGTGAGCCGCGGGGCGGCGGGGGGTTGGCGGGGGACACCATGAGGTACATGAACTCGCTCTGGCACTGGTCCAAGAATGCCTTGAGGTCGTTCCGCTGTGCTTCGTCGTCGGTCTTTTCTAGTTCAATACCCTCCACGCCAGGAATGTTGTACGTCTCGGGTGATGCTGCGGAAGGGAAATTTCGTCAGCCGAGCATCATAGAGCGGGATCCCACATCAACAGGGGGCACACCTACACTTCAACTTTTCTTGGATCTTGGCTATGCGATCGTTCTTTGCGGCCTTGGCGATGGCATCTTGCTCATTGGCAGCATCGCCGCCTCTGAGCTGGGCAGACTGGTCCTTGACCTTGCGTTCGAGGATGGACACGTACTTCCGCAGTGCCTTTTGCGTGGCATCTGCCCTACGAGCCTGACCCTCGAGATGGGCTATCCTCCCCCTCATCTCCTGCTTCTCAATCTCCCAGGCGTTGCGGTCTCGCTCGTGGCGGTGCCACTCCGTCTGGAGAAAGCGCATGACGCCCTGAAGTGTGTATTCCGTGGCGGGGGGCTGGCCTGGGCCACCGTGGCCCTGCATCTGTGCACCCATACTGTCCATAGCTCCCATGCCGTTGCCAGCATGCGGGCCCATCTCAGCTGGGCCTCTGACGTTGTGGTGTTTGCTCAGATATATAAGAGCATGTGGAGGTGGCGTCGGATAGAGTGTTGCGGCGTGAAGGAACCGAGCTGGTCGTCCGGCGGGCGGGCGGGCGCGGGGAGAGATCAATAACCCTTGTGACGAGACCACAAGGCCGGAACAAGGGACGGTCGTGGGGAGGTCGCGTCGTCAAGGGGGGGGG